GGCCTAATCCATATTCTAGAAGGCCCAAGTCCATGTTCTAGAAGATTCTCCTTATGACGGTCTATATTGTACTTAGTGGGCTTTTGGGCTTTAGGGTTTACTAGCCCAATGGGGATTTGTCTCCCTTATTATGTATATATATAAGTTGTAACCTCATTCATTAATCAATAGAATCATGAGATTCATAACAGATCTTCAAAACACGCACAAACAAAGAGAGAAAGAGCCATTTTAGTTTTATTGCATTTGACTCCAAAAAGGGCAAGTTTGGTCTCTTTTGAATCCATATGATCAAGTGTGGTATGGTGCAGCTAGGATCATGTAGGAAAGCTTTAAAGAATCTCTTAGAACACTTCTATTGCAAATGTCTAAACAAGATACTTTGCACTAAAATAATTACAAAAAGTAAGAAAGAGAACAAAAAAAATGGTTCTAAAATAAAAACCCCTAATTGAAAAAATGTCTTCATCAAGACACTTTGATTGAGTTTGTTATTATTTTTAAAACACCCATAATATAATATTAGTATTTGATAATTAAATTTATGTTAAGACACCCACAAAAGTTATGAAATGGAGATGGTCTAAGCAATCCACTAGAAACTCTCATCCCACACACACAAACAAAAGATTATAAGGAGTTACCTCTCTTAAGACTAAAGGATAATGCCTCTGAGGGTTCTTCAGCTATGAGCAGCATGTGATGAAGATGATTATGAAATTAAGGATTACATAAACAAAATCCCAGCAGAATATGAAACCCAATTTTTCCATTTTTTCCAATGGAATTGAGTATTCTGCTGAGGATTTCGTTTATGAAATCTCCAACTACATTACTATAGATGCTTATCAAATTCCTTGAAAAATGTACTGTTGAATCCAAAAAAAAAAAAAGGCAGTGATGAAATTGAGAAAAAAAAAATATTCTAAGAATAACAATCCAAATAACATTTGAGATCCAAAAGAAACTCAATAAAAGATTTGAAGCAATGTTAGTGACAACTTGTATATAAATATGAATTACTCAAAAACGTTAAGAGATTATTCTATCAACCGAAACTACACTAATATGGAATCAAATTGAATCCGATTGAGATAGAAAATCTGAGGAAAATTGAGAGATGATTTCTTTAATAGTCGATGAGGAGGCAAAATCGAGAAATAGATGCCAGAAGAAGAAGAAGAAAGGGAAATTTCACCAGATCTATGGTGTAGAACAACAGTACGGCCTACGAATGGACAAAACCGAGTCAAAATTCAACCGTCTAAACTGAAACAGAATTTATTATAACCGGACGGTATAAAATTTTCTATACTAGATTATTATACAACACAATATACAAAAATTGACTTGGGGCAATTATATTTGATTCTCTCAATTAAAACACACGAAATCAGAGAGTTTGCTTCACAAAAACAATCCTAATCCGCAAATTCAATAGAAAAGAAGTATATCACCCACTTAAATTCTAAAGACAATAACACAAACTCAAAGATAACACTTTGGAGAAAACTGGATTTTATTGAATGGAAAAAAAAACAAAAAAAATTGATAAAATGTGCTGTACATATAAACGGAGTTGAGCTTTTATAGGCTCATAGACAACGGTCATAAAAAGCTAAAATAAGAAAAGAATCTTAAAATTTAAAGAAAATAGCCGTTTGAGGCTCTGAGATAAAATCATCAAAATATGGAATGTTTTGTTGGCTCGTATTTTAAGAGCTATGAGAGGAAGTAGCGCACCTTTGGAAGTCTCTAGATGTAAAAGAGGGTCTTCAAAACACGCACAATCAAAGAGAGAAAGAGCCGTTGTAGCTTGATTGCATTTGACTCTAAAAAAGGACAAGTTTGGTCTCTTTTGAATCCATATGATCAAGTGTGGTGTGGTGCAAGTATCTAAATTAGATATTTTGCATTAAAATAATTAAAAAAAAAAAGTGGGAAAGAGAATAAAGAATCAGTTTTAAAAGAATAACCCTTAAGAAATCCACTTGAAACTCTCATCCCACATGTCATCATCGAAACGGTTTAATTTTGATTTTAAAATTAAAATTTGATTAAATATTTGAAATGTTTTAAAATAATAATATTTTAATGTAAGATATTTTTTTGGGATATCTAAAGGATGGAGTTGCTCTTATACTCTAGGGAGGCTTCAAAACACGACAGTTTTGAGAAAGTACTTGTTGAGTGTGAATATAGGTGTGAACACTCCCAAATAAGGCAAATGTAGATTTAACTTGCTGTTTTGCAACTCCAGGTTGTTGGGGTGAATATGGACGACTTCCTAGGTTAAAAGAGAACCCTCTAATCTTAGAAAGTCTCCAAGTCGTGGCTTCAGCTGATGATAAGGTGGGTTCACAAGTTTTCTTATTTACACCCAGTTTTGGACCTCCATGGTAAACTCTTAAACTAGCTCGAACCAAGGATGAATTTCTTTGATCATTCTCCTTAGAATATATAGTGTACGGATGCAAAAAAAAGCCAAGATCCATTGGTTGAAGAGAATCTCCATTTGGCAGCTCGCCTTGCTTGTAAACTAGTCCTTATAAGCCCCCACGTCCGTTTGGCAATTTGGTTTGTTGGTTAATGACTTCACCCGAACCATTATTCTTCTTAGGATATATTCCTTGGGGAATATCTAAGCCTAGGCCATTTGCTTGATCATGATTTGACTTGTACAAAAATTATCCTTATAAGCTTGTTTCGAATGGAATGGTGTGTTAAATGGCTGGTTTGGTTAGCTCCTTTTGGTGAGTGGTTCTAATGTCCACATCAGACTTCTTGGATTAGCATGAACAAATGTTCCATCAAACTATCAACTGTTGTGATGTTAATGTTGGATCTCGAACCGAAAATCCACGACACGAGAAAGGTAGATACGTCAGACAAGTGGAACTCATAAATCGTCCATATCTTTAAGAAATAAGAACTTCAACTCAAAAGGAAGCGGAGACGGGAACTTACCTTGCAAACCAAAGTAAAAAAAAAAAAAAAAAAAAACATGAATATTCTAAAAATTTGCCAAAACCAGTTTTATCAAAAATTCAAATATTAAATTTTACCACTAAGTATAAACAAAATGTTTGTTTATATATATTAAAAATAAAATAATTGACGAATTTGTTTACATCATTAGCATATTCTCTATGGTGAAACCAAACCTACTTTTTTATACATATAAAATTTTGATGCATTAATTTTAAAATACACTAGTAAGAGTTTCTAATGTTTATAGTTTTTACAGTCCTCCCACTAGTCAGCTACCCAACAATATTGAACCTTGAAACTAAATATAAAATTGAAACCAATAGGCCGCAGCCCAATTGTAATGTGTAAGCCCAGAGGAGGAGGAGAGTTTGAGATACATGTACGGGTATGAGATGGCTTGATTTGCCATAAGTCTTGTCTGAAGAAGAGCATCCACAACGATCATAGAAATTTGCTGCAAAGAATCAAACCAAACATAAACCTATTACCTATCAACACTATGGAGACTACTAACTAACCCTAGCAATTGGTCGAACCTCACTCTCGATATCCTCATATCTCTGTTTGAACGTTTGAGCTATGTGGATTTCCATCGAGCTAAGATGGTTTGTTCCTACTGGTATTCTGGTTCAAAACAAACAGTTCACCGGAAAAGCGGAACTCCATGGCTAATGCTTTTTCCAGACGACGGTGGTTGCTTGCTTTGCAATCCATACGAAAAAGCGGTTTACAAGACAAAGAGAGACTGTTCAGGGAGTCGATTCCTGGCAAGCTGCGGTAAATGGTTGTTGATGCTAGATTCTCGATCCAGATTATATATTATACATGTGTTTAGTGGGAATAGGATTGATCTTCCTCCATTAGAGTCGCTTTTATCGAACTACTCTGCTCTGAAGCGTATGGAAGATAGAGATAAGGAGTTTGAATTTGAATCTACTAATGGCTCTTATTACTCATTATATGCGGATGAAATCAGGGGACATCTTGTGGGTAGACGAGGAGACGAAAGAGTTGGCTTTAGTGTGGTTCTTTGACGCCCCTGCTTGTTTTGTATGTCTTTACAAGAAAGGGAATGCTCATTACGATCTCATTCCAGTTACCTATGGAGTTCCCAGGAAATTAACTGGCCTTGTTCTTGGTCTTGTTCTTCGGGTTACCGTCTATACATCTTAACGTCTCGTCGTTCCGTTCGAGTCATAGATTTTTCTGGGCAGCAAGGTTTGGAAGAACTCACTGGGAGTGACACATCCCCAATGTTTTCTCCTCTTGGATATAGTTGTTATTTTAGCATCGCGGTTACCACAGCCGGAGAGGTTTTGTTGGTCACAACCACAACCTCTGAAATGGTCTTCTGCTTCTGTATCTACAAGAAGGCTCCTAATGCTGACCCAGAGGACCAAATTGCCCGATCTTGCCTGCTTCTCGACTTGGGTATTACAGTATTACTGTGCCTGCTAACCATGCCCTTGGTATCCAACCAAACACAATCTATTTTACGAGCTCCGTCACAACTTCTCCGCCGATGATATCTGCCATGGGATTGGGAAGGCCGATGAGAAACAGAGAGATAAGTGGAGAGAAGAAAAGGTAAGTAGGAGGAGTGTAGTAACAAGCAACTAAGAAAAAAAAACAAAACAAGTAACAAGTAGGTGACGTTGTGGAACCCATTAACGAAGCTTCGTTGCAGTTACCTTTGGTCTTTAAAGTCTACGGAGACCCAATAAAGAAAGACTTTTGTTTTTTGCAAATTGAGGCCATCACGTTCTATTATTTATGGCAAGGCACAAAATTGATTAACTGGTTATATAAATTAATTTATTCTGGTAACAAAAGAATAACATGATACTTATATTAAATGAATACTAGTATTATTTTACGATTTTTTGTAGTTTTATACGTTCACCAAAAAGAGTTACGTTTTAAGTAAAAAATAAGATGAGGGGCAAGAAGACTGCACTGACTCTTGAGTTCGATGATGGAATATAATACAATACAAAACATGCTACGGATCAGCATTGAATTATTTATACAACATGTTATTAGGAGATCAAGCACCAACCCATTGAGTCAATCCAGACAATTTTCTGCGGCTTCAACAAGAAGTCCTGGAACTGCTTTCTCAATCTTTTCCCACATACACAAATTCTCCTTGTCGCAAATGACATGGCATAGAGAACTCAATGAAACCACAGAGCTCGGTAGCCTCAGTAATGGACATGCTCTCATGTCAATTTTCTCAAGCGTGCTCAACTTTCCTACCTCTTCGGGAAGAAAACTAAGGCTGGCACATTGAGAGATGTCAAGGTATTTCAGACTCGGCAGCTCACAGAGTTCTTCAGGCAGAGACTTCAGCTCCGGGCAAGCGTATAGCCTTAGAAGTTCAAGGGCCATTAGCTTACTCAGATTCTTAGGCAATTCACCGACATAGGGACAATTTGTTATGCTGATGGAGTTGAGAGAGGTGATCCCAGAGATGGTCGAAGGTAGTTCAACCAGATCATCACAATGATCTATTGTGAGATCAGACAAGTTTGGGAAGATTAGGTTCATGTCCAGTGTTGTCTGATCAACGCCAGTGTTGATCCTGCAGAAGATCAGGGACAGCTTTTGGAGGTTCTTCAGTGGGATCGTACTGCGGGGGACGTAAACCATCTCGAGCCAGAGACTCCGCAGTTTGGACAGATTAGTGAAACTGGAGAAGTCTTCTAGACGGACATGAAACATACCGTTGTTGATAACTAAGAGCGCCCTAAGCTTGCCCATCTTTGCAATAAAAGGTGGCAATACGTAGTTGTCTGAGGAGAAGTTTAATATTAGAACTTCTGCCTTGGGGAATTCCATGTCAATCCAGTCCATTTCATTCATTTCGCCTGTAAGAAAAAAAAAAAAACAGAGACCTATATTAATACCTTGTTATGATTCTAGTGACCTACACGACAAGTTATTCAAAGATCCTAACCTGTCTGAATGGAAACTACCCGTGCATTGTATGGTTCATCATTGCTCCTCTCCCATTCTCTGGGAAGAAACAACTCTCTTTTCGGCATTGATAACCGCTTTCTTCTATTTATTTTCCCACGATAGCTAAGACTTAGTGCTAGGTCTCTTAGAACATCGTGCTGCATCACAAATGTATCATAGTAGCCAGTGTACAAAGCGCCGAACCTGCAAGAATTGTGCACAATTTAATAAATCTTAAAGTGGCTACAAGAGATTTAGATCATACGGAGTTCTTATAACCTTGGATCTTTCACGAGAGTAAGGAGATTCTTGTCTGATAAATCCAAAAGAATGGAAAAAGCAGTTTCCTCGTCGAGATCATGTAGTTCAACCCACATGTTGATGATAACATCAAGAGGGATTTTTTTGTCTTCAGGGAAAGCACCAAGATCCAAGAAACACTCTCTGGTTTTTGGATCGAGAATTTCCAGAGTTGCTTCCATATGAGAAAACACTCTACTCTCATGGTGTTCATCAGCCGGTTCACCTCTTGATAACCTGTTCAGTGCACCTTGCCAATATTTTTCAGGTCGGTCTTTTAATGAAGCGCCAATGACTTTCAGAGCCAAAGGTAGACCTTTACACTCATGAACAACCTATCAAATAGAGTCAATATGAGTACTGAAAGCAAAAAAAAAAAATAACTATGCATGAATGACATGTAGCAGACCCATTACCTGTTTGACCAAACTTCTGCTGAACCCGGAAGGGACTATTTTCTGGTTGAAAGCAGAGAGACAGAATAGAGACATTGCGTCATGTTCATTGAGTAACTCTACATCATAGGTGGTTCTAGGATCTGCGAGTTTAGACCGTGAGACCACAAGAGTTGTGGATCCATGAGTATTTTTGGACATGAGCTGGTCCAGAGATTCCTTTGTCCAAACATCATCAAGAATCAGTAGCTTCTGTGTTTGACCAATCGATTCCGGAATAGTGGCACCAACACCAGCCTCATGACTAGTAAGAAATCCCCATATATGGGCTCTAAGCTCCTCAAGATTGGGAGATTGTGACACAGTCAGAAACAAAATCCGGTTCCCAAAGTAAATTTGCTTTTTTTTTTTTATTTCGTGGGTGTGGTTTTGGTATAAAACCAAACATCTGTCTTCTTCTCACAAGAGAGAATCGACAGGAGCATCAGACCTAACCGTAGAGAGCATAATCACGGACGTGGTATCGGTGATCAAATTCAGATATATGGCAACTCTTGAAAATTCTTTCTACGCAGACCTTGACGAGTTATCAGACAATGAAGCAGAACTGGATGCTAGAACAGAGGAGGAGGAAGACAATATTGACATGGACATGGAAGACCTAGAAACCCTAAACTATGATGATCTCTCGAGAGTTTCGAAGCTACAAGAAACTCATAGATACGCTGATATAATGCAGAGAGTGGAAGAGGCTCTCGGGAAGGATTCGGATGGAGGAGCAGAGATGGGAACTGTATTGGAAGACAAGCTTATCGTTGATTGCAATCAGCTCTCAGCTGATATCGAGAATGAGATTGTGATCGTCCACGACTTTATCCGCGACAAGTACAGACTTAAGTACCCAGAGCTTGAGTCGCTAGTACATGACCCAATAGATTACGCCCGTGTCGTGAAAAAAATTGCCAACGAGACAGATATAACTCTTGTTGATATGGAAGGCCTTCAGTTACTACTTTAACCACAAAAGGGAAACCACTTCCAGATAGTATCCTACGAAATACGTTAGACGCTTGTGATCACGCTATTGATCTTGATTCGGCAAGGAAAAAGGTTCTTGAGTTTGTTGAAAGTAAGATGGGATCTATCGCACCAAATCTCTCTGCTATTGTCGGGAGTGCTGTTGCAGCCAAGCTTATGGGAACTGCTGGAGGTTTATCGGCACTTGCAAACATGCCTGCTTGTAATGTTCTAGTTGTTGGCCACAACAGGAAGAACCGTGTCGGATTCTCTACTGCACTGTCACAGTCTCGTGCGGGTTATTTGGAGCAGACGGAGATTTTCCAAAGCACGCCTCCTGAACTTCGAATGCGCGCTAGCAGGCTCCTGGCTTCAAAATCGACTTTGGCAGCAAGAGTTGACGCTACTAGAGGAGATCCATCTGGAACAAACGGGAAAGCTTTGAGGGAGGAAATCCGCAAGAATATTGACAAGTGGCAAGAACCTCCTCCTGCAAGGCAACCTAAGCCACTTCATGTTCCTTATTCTGAGCCAAAAAAGAGAAGGGGTGGTCGCCGCCTAAGAAAAATGAAAGAAAGGTATCAAGTGACAGACATGAGAAAATTGGCCAACAGGATGGCGTTTGGTACACCCGAAGAGAGCTCTCTTGGTGATGGATTAGGTATCGGATATGGAATGCTTGGTCAGGCTGGGAGCAATAGGCTGCATGTTTCGAGCAAACTGAAAGTTAATGCTAAGGTCGCCAAAAAGCGACAGTTCACAGGTGGTTCTACTACCTCTGGTTTGACGACATCAAGTCTGGCTTTCACTCTTGTGCAAGGAATAGAGTTGTGCAATCCTCAGGCATTAGGATTAGTCAGTGGGATTCAAAGCACTTACTTCTCAGAGTCGGGAACTTTCTTCAAACTCAAGAAGATTTAAACTTCCCATACAGAGAGAAACAACTAGAAGAGGACATCTCCAATGAACCTATATTTCTTACAAATGAATACTAGATTTTAATAACGTTTTGACTTATAAGTTTTACTTGAAATCCAAATATGCCATTTATTTTTTCTGGCGACCAAAAAATTGCTAAAACCAGTCTTAATTGTTTCTGTGATTTCTTTAGCTATCATCCTTAGTAGAACAAGTTTTCATTGCTTTCTTTCATTAGCACTATTAGTTTCCTATCTGCTTAAATGATATTTCACTGTAACACAAAGTTAGCTAAAATGTAAATGTATCAATGAAAAAGAAACTAAGCTTTGAAGAGTAAAGAAACCTACCTGGACTTCTATGATGCCTTGAGCAAGGATCTTTCCCATTTCAAGTGAAAGAAGACGACCAATATATTCAGGTTTGGTTCTTAATGCATCTCACAATATCGCCTCTCTTAGGAGCCGTAACCTGCATCCTTATTTTGGCTGCTTCCTCGTAATCTTCCAGAGAAGCTTCCACAACTTGAGCAATTTGCTGCATCAGTCCAAAAAAGTGATTATCGAGCACAACAATATCATACACACATTATTTAACCATGCTTCACACACACAAACAAAATATTCTAAGGAGTTAGCTTTGTTAAGACTGAAGAATAATGCCTCTGAGGGTTGTTTGGCTATAAGCAGCATGTGATGAAGATGATTATGAAATTGGGGAATTACATAAACAAAATTCCAGTAGAATTGTAATGCCCAGACCGTCCATACCAGTGGGCCCCACGTCTTCTCTCAGGTCCATTGGTCCACCCCTGTCCGACGGCCGGTCCGCTTCGTCCGGGAAACTTTAAAGACTTGTTTACCGACCCTACAAATCACCACATGATTTTTCCCTATGTTTTGTCCTCACTCACACAGTTCCGACAATCACTTCCCGGAAGGTCACCCATCCTGAAACTACTCCAGCCCAAGCACGCTTAACTGTGGAGTTCTCTCAGGACGTTTGACCGAAAAGATAAGTGCACTTTGGTGACATAGGTGGCCAAATCAATTCTTTTAAACCTCTCCGCATGCACCACCACATTCCTGAAACCGGGGTGTTACAAGAATAATAAACTCAATGTTTCAACTCCAGTGGAATTGAGTATTCTACTGAAGGTTTTGTTTATCAAATCTCCAACTACATAACTAAAGATGCTTACGAAATACTTCAACTTTGAGAGATTATTCTATCAGCTGCAGCTACACAGAGCAGAGAAGCAACATTACACTGACACATAATCAAATTGAATCCTTGAGTTGTTTTCCTTGAAACCAGCAGAGGGAAATTGAGAGATGTTTCAATCGCCTATGAGGACGCAAAATCGAGAAATGGAGCCGGAAGAAGAAGAAAGCGAAATTTCACCAGAATCAAATTCATCCATCTCAACCGAAACTCAATTTATTATAACCGGACGGTATAAAAGTTTTCTATAACAGATTATATTACAAGCCAATAATAAAAATTTATTAAAAACAATTTTTTAGAGATACAATCCATCCATGGCAAAGGTGCAGGTTCGATCCGATCCTTCTTCGCCTCAAACTTTGAAATTCCACCTTGAAGATCTCGATCTCCTTCATTCCTACAAGTGACTCTCAATTCCATCGAGTTTAGGTTGTGGTAAGGAGAGTCTTCTAGTCTCAGATCTGTTATTTTATTTTGATTTAGGCTTTGTAAGTTTAATTTGAGTCTTTGGATTATGAATCCGGGAAGTCTTGTTCGGATGTTATGTTTTTAGTTGTTCTGGTTTTTTCCTCTAAGGTTTCTCTTTAGTTTGATATTTGTCTCTGGGAGTCTTCATGTACTCGCCGGCTTAGACTTTGGAAGGGTTTGTCCCTTGCCGGCTCTTGTATTCCATGTTTATCAATGAAATCTATCCTTCTAGTGAAAAAAAAAAGAGATACAAAAAAAATTGACTTGGAGAAACTAAATTTGATTGAAACACAGAAAATTAGAGAGTTTGGTTCACACAAACAATCCTAATCCGCAAATTCAATAGAAAATAAGTGTTTCACACACTTAAATTCTACAAAGATAACACTTTATAGAAAACTGGATTTTATTTAATCAACTAGATAAAAATCCGTGCTACGCGGCGGGAATGTGATTGAAGAAATATAAAAGGCTCTTAAAATTTGATATCTTACATTTGCTCATATTTTAATAATCTTTGCTTTACTATATTATTTATGTATGTATACATAAATAATAAACATGTTATATATTACTTTTACAAATAAATATAACGTATCACACATGTTATATATTACTTTTACAAAATAAATTGATATAAATTCACACATAATAGTTTAAATTAATATCATTTTATAAGTGAAAACTAAATTTTTTTTCTTATGAACTTCAATCAAAGATTGTTTTTTTTAAAATCCAAGGATAACTTCTATTTTTTAAAACATTTTAATTTTACTCATCAATTTAAATTTTAGTGCTAAATTTCATACTAATGGTTTGATCTTCAATTATAGGATTTATAAAAAAATTATTTATTTATAGTTTGTTTCTCTATATTTCACAGAATTTGAGTATGAGTGGTAGGTTGGAAAAAAAAACTATGAGTAGAAGGTTTCATTCTAATGGTTTTATTTTAACTAAATTTAATTTTTATGAAACATATGATTTCATTTTTTTTAATCTTAAGGACTGATATTTTTAATGAAGCTTTTTGTTTTCAAGAAACAATTAACCCTCAAATTTTAAATAAAATAAACATTATAATTATCTTTATATAATTATCTATTGGAACAAAAAAAAAACATAATGATACATATATTAAAAATGAGTTACGAAAATTCATTTGAGATAATAAGGAGGTAAGAAAAAAGTATTTGATATATGTATTACAATAATTTATTTTATTAAATATCACATAATAAAAAAACAATTACATGAATATGTTAGGAAATAATCAAACATCTAAAGTAGAAAATGGAGATGGATCTTCTTAACATTATTTTTCTTGTTGTGCGATGATTAGAATTGATATTCTTAATTCTCAATCACTAGTAAACTTGAAAGTTTTTTTATAGTCATCAAAACTTTTATTTTGTTTCGAAAAATTAAAGAAGTAATATGTATAATCTAGTATGGTGTCGAAATATTTAAAAAAAAAACAATGTTAGATATATGGCATACTTTTTAAAATATGTTTAGAATCAAATTTTTACAATGATGTTTTCTTTGATATTAACCCATATAGCAATATAAAAAATAGATACATGAATATAGTGGAAGAGGATGAGAGAATGACTACTTATAAGATGATAATCTAAAATAGACTATGAATATTAATCTTTAAAAAAATCAAAGAGAATGTAAGATATATATATCGTATAATCTCTAAAATTAAAATTTAGAACTACGCTTATACAATTATATTTAATTTGATTTTTTAAAATCCATTACAACAACAACAACAACAACAACCAACCAAACAAATCTTAAAACTAAACCAAAATAAAAATAAAGATTTGAGATATAGTAGAAGAGGATGAGAGAATGAGTGAAAGAGTGAATATGTGAATGAGAGAATGAGAAAATGATTATTTATAGAATGATAAGTGATGTGAGTTAGAGTTACCATTTTAATTTATTGTGTATTGAATAAAATTTAGTGAAAAATATAGTTAATGCATAGATTTTATGATTTATTTTATTAAATATCACATAATGAAAAACAAATACATGAATATGTTAGGAAATAATCAAACATCTAAAGTAGAAAATGGAGATGGATCTTCTGAACATTATTTTATTTGTTGTGCGATTATTAGAATTGATATTCTTAATTCTCCATCACTAGTAAACCTGAAAGTTTTGTTATAGTCATCAAAATTTTTATTTTGCTTCGGAACATTAAAGAAGTAATATGTATAATCTAGTATGGTGTCGAAAATATAATAAAAAAACAATGTTAGATATATGTTATACTTTTAAAAATAAATTTAGAATCAAATTTTTACAATGATGTTTTCTTTGATATTAACCCATATAGCAATATAAAAAATAGATATGAATATAGTGGAAGAGGATGAGAGAATGACTACTTATAAGATGATAATCTAAAATAGACAATGGATATTAATCTTTAAAAAAATCAAAGAGAATGTAAGATATATATATCATATAATCTCTAAATTAAAATTTAGAACTACGCTTATACAATTATATTTAATTTGATTTTTTAAAATCCATACAACAACAACAACCAACCAGAAAAATCTTAAAACTAAACCAAAATAAAATTAAGATTTGAGATATAGTAGAAGAGGATGAGAGAATGAGTGAATGAGTGAATGAGAGAATGAGAAAATGATTATTTATAGAATGATAAGTGATGGGAGTTGGGAGTTACAATTTTAATTTATTGTGTGTTGAATAAAATTGAGTGAAAAAATATAGTTAATGCATAGATTTTATGATTTCAGTTTTATTTTAAAGTGTTAGTTAATGTATATGATTAAATAGGTTATTTATTTGTGTTTTAATTGAAAATAATTTGTGAAAATAAAGTTAATGCATAGGTTTTATGATTTCAGTTATTTATTAAAGTGTGAGTTAAATGTATATGATGATATGTGTTATTTATTTGTGTTTTAATTCAAAATATTATTTTTTCTTATTCTTATTGCCAAGTGGACCAATAAGGAGAAAATGAAACCTTACTTGTATATATATGATGATAAAAGGTTCTTTACAATGAAAACAAAACTGAGCTTTTCTAGGCTCATAGACAACGGTCTTTAAAAACTACAATACGAAACGAATCATAAAATTTTAAATAAAAGAGCCGTTTGAGACTTTAAAAGAAAATCGGCCAAATATGGAAAGTTTTGTTGTCTTGCATCTTGAGAACTTAGAGAGGAACTAATGCATCTTTGGAATTTTCTAGATGTGAAAGAGGATCTTCAAAACACGCACAAACAAAGAGAGAAAGAGCCATTTTAGTTTTATTGCATTTGACTCCAAAATGGCAAGTTTGGTCTCTTTTGAATCCATATGATCAAGTGTGGTATGGTGCAGCTAGGATCATGTAGGAAAGCTTTAAAGAATCTCTTAGAACACTTCCATTGCAAATGTCTAAACAAGATACTTTGCACTAAAATAATTACAAAAAGTAAGAAAGGGAACAAAAAAATGGTTCTAAAATCAAAACCCCTAATTAAAAAAGTGTCTTCTTCAAGACACTTTGCTTGAGTTTGTTATTGTTTTTAAAACACCCATAATATAATATTAGTATTTTATAATTAAATTTATGTTAAGACACCCACAAAAGTTATGAAATGGAGATGGTCTAAGCAATCCACTAGAAACTCTCATCCCACATACACAAACAAAAGATTATAAGGAGTTACCTCTCTTATGACTGAAGGATAATGCCTCTGAGGGTTCTTCAGCTATGAACAGCATGTGATGAAGATGATTATGAAATTAAGGATTACATAAACAAAATCCCAGCAAAATATGAAACCCAATTTTTCCATTTTTTTCCAATGGAATTGAGTATTCTGCTGAGGATTTCGTTTATGAAATCTCCAACTACATTACTATAGATGCTTATCAAATTCCTTGAAAAATGTACTGTTGAATCCAAAAAAAAAAAGTTCACTGATGAAAATGAGAAAAAAAAAATATTATGAGAATAAACATCCAAATAACATTTGAGATCCAAAAGAAACTCAATAAAAGATTTGAAGCAATGTTAGTGACAACTAGTATATAAATATGAAATACTCAAAAACGTTAAGAGATTTTTCTATCAACCGAAACTACAATGATATGGAATCAAATTGAATCCGATTGAGATAGAGAATCTGAGGAAAATTGAGAGATGATTTCTTTAATAATCTATGAGGAGACAAAATCGAGAAATAGATGCCGGAAGAAGAAGAAGAAAGGGAAATTTCACCAGATCTACGGTGTAGAACAACACTACGGCCTACGGGTGGACAAAACCGAGTCAAAATTCAACCGTCTAAACAGAAACAGAATTTATTATAACCGGACGGTATAAAATTTTCTATACCAGATTATTATACTACACAATATACAAAAAAATTGACTTGGGGCAATTATATTTGATTCTCTCAATTAAAACACACGAAATCAGAGATTTTGCTTCACAGAAACAATCCTAATCCGCAAATTCAATAGAAAAGAAGTATATCACCCACTTAAATTCTAAAGACAATAACACAAACTCAAAGATAACACTTTGTAGAAAACTGGATTTTAAAAACTGAGTTGAGCTTTTATAGGCTCATAGACAACGGTCATAAAAAGCTAAAATAAGAAAAGAATCTTAAAATTTAAAGAAAATAGCCGTTTGAGACTTTAAGAGAAAATCATCAAAATATGGAAGGTTTTGTTGGCTCGTATCTTGAGAGCTATGAGAGGAAGTAGCGCACCTTTGGAAGTCTCTAGATGTAAAAGAGGGTCTTCAAACCACGCACAATCAAAGAGAAAAAGAGCCGTTGTAGCTTGATTGCATTTGACTCTATAAAAGGACAAGTTTGATCTATTTTGAATCCATATGATCAAGTGTGGTGTGGTGCAAGTATCTAAATTAGATATTTTGCATTAAAATAATTTAAAAAAAAAAGTGGGAACGAGAATAAAGAAACAGTTTTAAAAGAAGAACCCTTAAGAAATCAACTTGAAACTCTCATCCCACATGTCATCATCGAAATGGTTTAATTTTAATTTTAAAATTAAAATTTGATTAAATACTTGAAATGTTTTAAAATAATAATATTTCAATGTTAAAATATTATTTTAGGATAGCTAAAGGATGGAGTTGCTCTTATACACTAGTGAGGCTTCAAAACACGACAGTTTTGAGAAAGTAGTTGTTGAGTGTGAATATAGGTGTGAACACTCCCAAATAAGGAAAATGTAGATTTAACTTGCTGTTTTGCAACTCCAGCTTGTTGGGGTGAATATGGACGACTTCCTAGGTTAAAAGAGAACCCTCTAATCTTAGAAGGTCTCCAAGTCGTGGCTTCAAGTGATGATAAGGTGGGTTCACAAGTTTTCTTATTTACACCCGGTTTTGGACCTCCATGGTAAACTCTTAAACTAGCTCGAACCAAGGATGTATTTCTTTGATTATTCTCCTTAGAATATATTGTGTATGGATGCAAAAAAAGCCAAGATCCATTGGTTGAACAGAATCTCCATTTGGCAGCTCGCCTTGCTTGTAAACTAGTCCTTATAAGCCCCCACGTCCGTTTGGCAATTTGGTTTATTGGTTAATGATTTCACCCGAACCATTATTCTTCTTAGGATATATTCCTTGGGGAATATCTAAGCCTAGGCCATTTGCTTGATCATGATTTGATTTATTTACAAAATAAATTGATATAAATTCACACATAATAGTTTAAATTAATATTATTTTATAAGTGACAACCTAAATTTGTTTTCTTATGAACTTGAATCAAATCTTCTATTCTTAAAAACATTTTAATTTGACTCATCAGTTTAAATTTTAGTGCTAAATTTCAAACTAATGTTTTCATATTTAATTATAGGGATTAATAAAAAATTGGTATTTATAGTTTGTTTTTTCTATATTTCACACAATTTGAATATGAGTGGTAGGTTGGCAAAAAAAAAAAAAAAACTATGAGTGGAAGGATTCATTCTAATGATTTTATTTTAACTAAATTTAATTTGAAACATATGATTTCATTTTTTTAATCTTAAGGACTAATAATTTTAATGAAGCTTTTTGTTTTTTAAAATCAATTAAACCTCAAATTTTAAATAAAATAAACATTATAATTATCGTTATATAATTATCTATTGGAACAAAAAAATATAATGATACATTTATTAAAAATGAGTTACGAAAATTTATTTGAGATAATAAGGAGGTAAGAAAAAAGTATTTGATATATGTATTACAATAATTTATTTTATTAAATATCACATAATGAAAAACAAATACATGAATATGTTAGGAAATAATTAAACATCTAAAGTAGAAAATGGAGATGGATCTTCTGAACATTATTTTAATTTTTTTGCGATTATTAGAATTGATATTCTTAATTCTCCATCACTAGTAAACCTGAAAGTTTTGTTATAGTCATCAATATTTTTATTTTGCTTCGCAAAAGTAAAGAAGAAATATGTATAATTTAGTATGGTGTCGAAAATATAATAAAAAAAACAATGCTAGATATATGTCATACTTTTAAAAATAAATTTAGAATCAAATTTTTACAATGATGCTTTCATTGATATTAACCCATATAGCAATATAAAAAAATAGATACATGAATATAGTGGAAGAGGATGAGAGACTACTTATAAGATGATAATCTAAAATAGACAATGGATATTTTTTTTGGTAGGATAATAGACAATGGATATTAATCTTTAAAAAAAATCAAAGAGAATGTAAGATATATATATCATATAATCTCTAAAATTAAAATTTAGAACTACGCTTATACAATTATATTTAATTTGATTTTTTAAAATCCATACAACAACAACAACCAACAAAAAAAATCTTAAAACTAAACCAAAATAAAAATTAAGATTTGAGATATAGTAGAAGAGGTACGTACGAACAAAAGAACGATGGCGACTCTAAAGGCGATTTTTTCAATCCTCGTTAACTGCCTCTGTTCCTTATCTTCAGAAGCAGTTTCCTTCGATTTCTCCAAAAAAGTGGAAGTTATTCAGACCACTTCTCCGACGGTTATCTCCACGTCGTACTCAAATCCACGACGTGATGCTCATCTTGCGGTTGTTCACAACCCTCTTCTATTTAAGAGAAGATCTGCAAATGGATTTCAAACAAGTTCTCAAGCAATTTGCTCTGTTCTTACTTACCCCTTTCGATTTTACTCTGTCCTTACCAAAATGGCTGATAATTTACGGAGAGCAGTTCAAGAGATTAACTTGGGGGCGGATGAAGATCCATTTGTCATACCGGAGGAGATTGTGGCAAGGGCGGAAGCCGAGAATCGATTCATCCTGTTGGGACGACCAGTTGCCACGGAGACAAAACCTCCGCTCAATTGTAGCCTCGATGCCACGAGTATGGGGACAATCCAGTCTAGTCCATGGGCGGATAATCCCGGGTAACCAATTTCAGTTTGTCTTTCCATCGGAGGAATCACTTGAGACAGTGATTAGGCGTGGACCGTGGGCTTTCAATGACCGAATGCTGATACTTCAACGCTGGACTCCATTGATGAATCCTCCACTCATCAATTTCATACCTTTCTGGATCCAAGTTCGTGGGATCGCGTTACAGTACCTTACCCTTGAAGTCATCAACTCTATTGGGCGTGCTCTTGGCAACCTGGCGGACGTGGATTATGATGCAGAGACTGCAGCACGAGTTGAATTTGTGAGAATCCAGATCAATTGGAACATTGACACACCTGTCATGTTTCAACGTAATTTCCAATTTCAACGGGGAGTCAACACTTTACTCAGGTTCCGTTTTGAGCGACTCAGAGGCTTCTGTGAAGTCTGTGGTATGCTCACTCATGACTCAGGAGCCTGTTTGATCCAGAATGGAGGTGAAGAAGACCACCAAGATGGGGATGATGATGACCATGCTGAACCAAACCCTCCGGTGAATCAGAACCAAAATCAGGGAGTTGTTATCCGGGAGATTGAAGCGGATGAGGCTAATGGTGATGTCATGGAGGATGAGCCGGCGATGGCAGTGGTAAATGAAGCTGAAGAAATTGAAGCTATTGCAGACATTGACCCACACCACAATGCTCTGGTGGACTATGAGGATGAGCAGGAGGATAGAATGGCTCTCAGCATTTTTCGTGGTGAATGGGATGCGAATGAGCTTTTCAACCCGGTGCCGATCTTTGAGAATTCAACGGGTGATATCCCGGGCTCTGAGGCTAACCGTGTCTACTCTGCAAACATCCATCCAAGGACTGAAATCATGGAAGAGACCTTGCGAGTTAGAGAAGAGGTTGCTGTGGAAAGAGGAAAACGCAAAAAGGAAGACACAATTGAGCAATCAGAGGAGACAGTGAACACAAAGGTAAAGTTCCAAGAACTGGAGGAAGGAAGCAGCTCTTCTCACAAGAGCAACCAGTGCAGAGGCGCGGTGGGCCCCAAACCACCACAGCCGCCATGATTACAACCGCTTGGAACTGTCAAGGTCTGGGCATAGACCTTACAGTTCGACGCCTAAAGGAGATAACGAGAACGTTTCTCCCGGACATGATATGCCTAGTGGAAACAAAGCAAGGAGACGACAAGATCAAGGAAGTCGCTAGTGATCTGAATTACCCGCACTATGTAACAGTTCCACCACGTGGTATGAGTGGTGGGATTGCTATTTTCTGGAAAAATTCTCTTTCAGTTTCAATTATTTCCCTTTCTGCAAATCTTGTAGATATGCAAGCTACCTTTAATGGAACTTCTTTTTATTACTCGTTGGTGTATGGTTTCCCTGAGCAACGTTTGAGAAACGACCTTTGGGAACTGTTGGAAGAAATCTCTGAAACTAGAAGAAACCCTTGGCTTCTAATGGGAGACTTTAACGAAATCAGAGGCAACGATGAGAAAAAAGGTGGTCCGAGAAGACCTGAAAGATCTTTTGATGATTTCCGCCGCATGATTACCAATTGTGACCTTCATGACCTACGGGCAGTGGGAAATCGGTTCTCTTGGACTGGGAAGCGTCATTCCCATGATGTTTGGTGTTGTTTAGACCGAGCAATGGCTAACACAGAGTGGTTATCACTGTTTCCTTCAGCCCAAACTGAATTTTTACCTTTTGAAGGATCCGATCATAGACCGTTAGTTACAAGCATCTGCAATATTGCAACCCAACGAAGGAGAAACTTCAGATACGATAGCAGATTATTCAAGCGGGAGGGTTTCAGAAATATGTTGATAACAGCTTGGAACAATGGAAACACGACTATGGATCTTTGTCATAGAATCAAGTATAGCAGATCAAAGATGGCTGAATGGAAGAGACAGAACAAACTCAATGCTTCAGTGAGAATTGCAATCCTGAAAAAAGATTTGGATGCGGCTTTAACACAAGGAACCCATACTACACAGGAGATTGCAATGATTAGGAGCGATCTAAACCAGGCTTATGAGGAAGAAGAACATTATTGGAAAGTCAAAAGTAGGAATACATGGCTAAAGCTTGGTGATAGACATACCAAATATTTCTATGCGGCTGCGAAGCAACGTATAGCTCGCAACAGGATCTTGGCCATTGAGGACTTGACGGGTATGGTTCACAGGGGTGATGAAGACGTTGGACAAGTTGCAGAACATTATTTTGCTGATCTTTTCAAGACATCACGAGACCCTCAAAGGGATTATACCAGCGCTTTTGAAGGTTTTCAAGCAAAAGTAACCAATGACATGAATGAAGATCTTCAGAGAATGGTTACCGAGGATGAAATAAAGGAAGCTGTTTTTGACATAGGTCCAGACAGAGCACCAGGGCCCGATGGCATCACAGCAGCTTTTTACCAGCAATTCTGGCCTGAAATTAAAGAATCCGTGATCGATGAGGTTAAACGTTTTTTCAGCGAGGGTACAATGACGAACACGATGAATCATACCAATATCTGCTTAATTCCAAAGGCTGAGATCCCCACAACAATGACTGATTTCAGACCCATTTCGCTATGCAATGTAAGCTACAAAATCATCTCAAAGATTCTGGTCAAAAGGCTAAAACGACATCTTTCAGCAATAATCTCTGAAAATCAAGCGGCTTTCATCCCGGGTAGGAACATTATGGACAATGTCATCATTTCTCATGAAATGATCCACTCACTAAAGAAGAGAAGAAGATGGGCCAATTCCTACATGACTGTCAAGACGGATATCTCAAAAGCCTATGACAGGATGGAATGGGATTTTCTTAGGGATACAATGCGTCATATGGGCTTCGATTCTATTTGGATCAACTGGATAATGCAATGTGTGGAGTCAGTCAGCTTCTCAGTACTCATACACGGGTCTCCAAGGGGAATGATTAAACCTGAGAGGGGGATCCGCCAAGGCGATCCACTTTCTCCATATTTGTTCATACTTTGTTCGGAGGTTTTAAGCCATTTGTTAACAAATGCAGCGGGATGCAACAGATTGAAGGGTATGAAGATAAGCGCTACGGGACCAACCATAAACCACCTTTTGTTTGCCGACGATGCTTTGTTTTTCTGCCATGCCCATCAAAAATCATGCTCAACGATAATGAAGATCCTCCAGGAATATGAACATATATCTGGCCAAGCGGTAAATCTCAATAAATCAGCGATAACGTTCGGTTCAAGAGTGAAACAGCATGTCAAAACCAGGCTACGGAGGATCCTTAATATTCACAATGATGGAGGCTCCGGGAAATACTTGGGACTACCAGAACATATTGGCAGAAAGAAAAAGGAAATATTCAACTATGTGGTTGAAAAGGAGAAACAGAGAACACAAAGCTGGTCACACAGATTCTTATCGGAAGCAGGGAAAGAGATTCTTTTGAAGACAGTGGCAATGGCTCTTCCTATTTACACAATGAACTTCTTTAAACTACCTAAGGGTACTTGTGATGAGATAAATAGCATCTTGGCTAAAGTTTGGTGGAGTAAAACGCCAGGGAAGCGATCTATACATTGGGTCTCTTGGAAACGAATGGGACTACCAAAAAGAGAAGGAGGGCTTGGTTTTCGCGATCTGGAGAATTTCAACCTGGCTTTGCTGGGCAAACAAGTGTGGAGAATTTTCCAAGCTCCAGAAAGCCTTTTAGCAAGACTTTTAAAGGGAAGGTACTTTCCAAATTCAAATATTTTTACTGCAGGGCCTGGCTACAAATCGTCTTTTATCTGGAAATCACTATTGGAAGGAAGAGACCTTTTGAGAAAAGGGATGAGATTTTTAATTGGGAATGGAAACACTACTCAGGCTTGGCTCGACCCATGGCTACCGGTACATCCGCCACGACCTCCTCGACGTATTGACGAAACAGAGACAACCGTACGACATGTTAGTGAATTAATGTCCACCAGAAGCTCGGGGTGGCATATGGACCTGTTACGGGAGCTGATTGTGGAGGAGGACATTCAGATATGCTTGGCTGGCACTATACAGATTCTGGAATTTACACAGTCAAGTCTGGATATTGGTTAGCTTCACATTCTCAAGAATATCAAGAAGACATTCAACCACCACCAGGATCCCAAGTTATAAAGGACGCTATTTGGAAGATGAGAACAGCCCCCAAACTTCAACATTTCTTATGGCGAATGATCTCAAATGCATTGGCTATGAAGACGGAGCTTGCTAGGAGGGGAGTGGCCATTGACACTATCTGCAAAAGATGCCAGCGATCAGATAAAACTACGGCTCATTTGTTCTTTGAATGCCCTCACGTTCAGGAAATTTGGAAGGGTAATCAACAACTTCATCACATTATATGCAACCCGACTAACTCTTTTATGCTCAAGATCAAGGCGGTAATCGAGTGCTACAACAACGATAACTTGTCTAGTCTAGAGCATCAGATACCAATCTGGACCTTGTGGAGAATTTGGAAAAGCCGGAATCAACTCCTTTACCAAAATTTGGAGAGCACATGGCAACACGACACCATAAAATCAATAGAAGAGGCAACAGAATGGGTATCATGTTGGCAAGATGACCTCTCACGGAATGCTACACCGGATAGTCTTCAGAGGAATTCAAGGCGCTCACACTGGAAAAAACCACGACAGGATTTTATCAAGTGCAACTATGACTGCAAATTCTCCCAGAATGGTAACGAGACTCGATCAGCTTGGATAGTCAGGGACTCTGATGGTTTCTTTATACGAGCAGGGCTAAGCAGAGGAGGGCGTGTTTTATCAGTTTTAGAGGCAGAGTTGCAAAGTTTGGTTATGGCGATGCAACACACATGGAGTCAAGGTAATAGAAGAGTCATCTTTGAGGGAGATAATCAAACTGTTTTGAAGCTGGTAAAAGGAGAAGCATACAATTTCAGAGTTTGGATTAGAGAGGTCAGATTTTGGCAAGAAAAGTTCTCAACTGTGGAGTTTCATTGGACAAGCAGGGAAAACAACAAAGCGGCTGATAGATTGGCAAAAAGTTCTATTAGAAATCATAGTAGTTTTGTATCTTTCTTTCATGTTCCAAGTTCAATTGTAAACATCCTCCATGAGGATCACCTTTCTCATTAATTAATTGAAGCTGTTAAAAAAAAAAGAGATATAGTAGAAGAGGATGAGAGAATGAGTGAATGAGTGAATGAGAGAATGAGAAAATGATTATTTATAGAATGATAAGTGATGGGAGTTGGGAGTTACAATTTTAATTTATTGTGTGTTGAATAAAATTGAGTGAAAAAATAGAGTTAATGCATAGATTTTATGATTTCAGTTTTATATTAAAATGTGAGTTAATGTATATGATTAAATAGGTTATTTATTTGTGTTTTAATTGAAAACAATTTATGAAAATAAAGTTAATGCATAGGTTTTATGATTTCAGTTATATATTAAAGTGTGAGTTAAATGTATATGATGATATGTGTTATTTATTTGTGTTTTAATTAAAAATATTATTTTTTCTTATTCTTATTGCCAAGTGGACTAATAAGGAGAAAGTGAAACCTTACTTTTATATATATGATGATAAAAGGTGTTTTACAATGAAAACAAAACTGAGCTTTTCTAGGCTCATAGACAACGGTCTTTAAAAACTAAAATACGAAACGAATCATAAAATTTTAAATAAAAGAGCCGTTTGAGACTTTGAAAGAAAATCGGCCAAATATGGAAAGTTTTGTTGTCTTGTATCTTGAGAACTTAGGGAGGAACTAATGCATCTTTGGAATTCTTTGGATGTGAAAGAGGATCTTCAAAACACGCACAAACAAAAAGAGAAAGAGCCATTTTAGTTTTATTGCATTTGACTCCAAAAAGGCAAGTTTGGTCTCTTTTGAATCCATATGATCAAGTGTGGTATGGTGAAGCTATGATCATTGAGGAAAGCTTTAAAGAATCTCTTAGAACACTTCCATTGCAAATGTCTAAACATGATACTTTGAACTAAAATAATTACAAAAAGTAAGAAAGAGAACATAAAAAATGGTTCTAAAATAAAAACCCCTAATTAAAAAAGTGTCTTCATCAAGACACTTTAATTGAATTTGTTATTATTTTTAAAACACCCATAATATAATATTAGTATTTTATAATTAAATTTATGTTAAGACACCCACAAAAGTTATGAAATGGAGATGGTCTAAGCATTCCACTAGAAACTCTCATCCTACATACACAAACAAAAGATTAAAAGGAGTTACCTCTCTTAAGACTGAAGGATAATGCCTCTGAGGGTTCTTCAGCTATGAGCAGCATGTGATGAAGATGATTATGAAATTAAGGATTACATAAACAAAATCCCAGCAGAATATGAAACCCAATTTTTCCATTTTTTCCAATGGAATTGAGTATTCTGCTGAGGATTTCGTTTATGAAATCTCCAACTACATTACTATAGATGCTTTTCAAATTCCTTGAAAAATGTACTGTTGAATCCAAAAAAAAAAAGTGCAGTGATGAAAATGGGAAAATAAAAATATTATGAGAATAACCATCCAAATAACATTTGAGATCCAAAAGAAACTCAATAAAAGATTTGAAACAATGTTAGTGACAACTTGTATATAAATATGAAATACTCAAAAACGTTAAGAGATTATTCTATCAACCGAAACTACACTGATATGGAATCAAATTGAATCCGATTGAGATTGAGAATCTGAGGAAAATTGAGAGATTATTTCTTTAATAGTCTATGAGGAAGCGAAATCGAGAAATAGATGCCGGAAGAAGAAGAAGAAAGGGAAATTTTACCAGATCTACGGTGTAGAACAACACTACGGCCTACGGGTGGACAAAACCGAGTCAAAATTCAACCGTCTAAACCGAAACAGAATTATTATAACCGGACGGTATAAAATTTTGTATACCAGATTATTATACAACACAATATACAAAAAATTGACTTGGGGCAATTATATTTGATTCTCTCAATTAAAACACACGAAATCAGAGAGTTTGCTTCACAGAAACAATCCTAATCCGCAAATTCAATAGAAAAGAAGTATATCACCCACTTAAATTCTAAAGACAATAACACAAACTCAAAGATAACACTTTGTAGAAAACTGGATTTTATTGAATGGAAAAAAAAAACAAAAAAATTTGATAAAATGTGCTTTACATAAAAACGGAGTTGAGCTTTTATAGGCTCATGGACAACGGTCATAAAAAGCTAAAATAAGAAAAGAATCTTAAAATTTAAAGAAAATAGCCGTTTGAGGCTTTAAGAGAAAATCATCAAAATATGGAATGTTTTGTTGGCTCGTATCTTGAGATCTATGAGAGGAAGTTGCGCACCTTTGGAAGTCTCTAGATGTAAAAGAGGGTCTTCAAAACACGCACAATCAAAGAGAAAAAGAGCCGTTGTAGCTTGATTGCATTTGACTCTATAAAAGGACAAGTTTGATCTCTTTTGAATCCATATGATCAAGTGTGGTGTGGTGCAAGTATCTAAATTAGATATTTTGCATTAAAATAATTAAAAAAAAAAGTGAGAATGAGAATAAAGAAACAGTTTTAAAAGAAGAACTCTTAAGAAATCCACTTGAAATTCTCATCCCACATGTCATCATCGAAATGGTTTAATTTTAATTTTAAAATTAAAATTTGATTAAATACTTGAAATGTTTTAAAATAATAATATTTAATGTGAAAATATTTTTTTAGGATATCTAAAGGATGGAGTTGCTCTTATACACTAGTGATGCTTCAAAACATGACAGTTTTGAGAAAGTAGTTGTTGAGTGTGAATATAGGTGTGAACACTCCCAAATAAGGCAAATATGGATTTAACTTGCTGTTTTGCAACTCCAGCTTGTTGGGGTGAATATGGACGACTTCCTAGGTTCAAAGAAAACCCTATAATCTTAGAAGGTCTCCAAGTCATGGCTTCAGCTGATGATAAGGTGGGTTCACAAGTTTCCTTATTTACACTCGGTGACCTCCATGGTAAACTCTTAAACCAGCTCGAACCAAGGATGAATTTCTTTGATCATTCTCCTTAGAATATATGGTGTACGCATGCAAAAAAAGCCAAGATCCATTGGTTGAACAGAATCTCCATTTGGCAGCTCGCCTTGCTTGTAAACTAGTGCTTATAAGCCCCCACGTCGGTTTGGCAATTTGGTTTGTTGGTTAATGATTTCACCCGAACCATTATTCTTCTTAGGATATATTCCTTGGAGAATATCTAAGCCTAGGCCATTTGCTTGATCATGACTTGACTTGTACAAAAATTATCCTTATAAGCTTGTTTCGAATGGAATGGTGTGTTAAATGGCTGGTTTGGTTAGCTCCTTTTGGTGAGTGGTTCTAATGTCCACATCAGACTTCTTGGATTAGCATGAACAAATGTTCCATCAAACTATCAACTGTTGTGATGTTAATGTTGGATCTCGAACCGAAAATCCACGACACGAGAAAGATAGATACGTCAGACAAGTGGAACTCATAAATCGTCCATATCTTCAAGAAATAAGAACTTCAACTCAAAAGGAAGCGGAGACGGAAACTTATCTTGCAAACCAAAGTAAAAAAAAAAAAGAAAACATGAATATTCTAAAAATTTGCCAAAACCCGTTTTTTTCAAAAATTCAAATATTAAAATTTACCACTAAGTATAAACAAAATGTTTGTTTATAAATATTAAAAATAAAATAATTGACGAATTTGTTTACAACAAGCATATTCTCTATGGTGAAACCAAACCTACTTTTTTATACATATAAAATTTTGATGCATTAATTTTAAAATACACTAGTAAGAGTTTCTAATGTTTATAGTTTTTACAGTCCTCCCACTAGTCAGCTACCCAACAATATTGAACCTTGAAACTAAATATAAAATTGAAACCAATAGGCCGCAGCCCAATTGTAATGTGTAAGCCCAGAGGAGGAGGAGAGTTTGAGATACATGTACGGGTATGAGATGGCTTGATTTGCCATAAGTCTTGTCTGAAGAAGAGCATCCACAACGATCATAGAAATTTGCTGCAAAGAATCAAACCAAACATAAACCTATTACCTATCAACACTATGGAGACTACTAACTAACCCTAGCAATTGGTCGAACCTCACTCTCGATATCCTCATATCTCTGTTTGAACGTTTGAGCTATGTGGATTTCCATCGAGCTAAGATGGTTTGTTCCTACTGGTATTCTGGTTCAAAACAAACAGTTCACCGGAAAAGCGGAACTCCATGGCTAATGCTTTTTCCAGACGACGGTGGTTGCTTGCTTTGCAATCCATACGAAAAAGCGGTTTACAAGACAAAGAGAGACTGTTCAGGGAGTCGATTCCTGGCAAGCTGCGGTAAATGGTTGTTGATGCTAGATTCTCGATCAAGATTATATATTATAGATGTGTTTAGTGGGAATAGGATTGATCTTCCTCCATTAGAGTCGCTTTTATCGAACTACTCTGCTCTGAAGCGTATGGAAGATAGAGATAAGGAGTTTGAATTTGAATATACTGATGGCTTTTACTATACGCAGATGAAATCAGGGGACATCTTGTGGGTAGACGAGGAGACGAAAGAGTTGGCTTTAGTGTGGTTCTTTGACGCCCCTGCTTGTTTTGTATGTCTTTACAAGAAAAGGGAATGCTCATTACGATCTCATTCCAGTTACCTATGGAGTTCCCAGGAAATTAACTGGCCTTGTTCTTGGTCTTGTTCTTTGGGTTACCGTCTATACATCTTAACGTCTCGTCGTTCCGTTCGAGTCATAGATTTTTCTGGGCAGCAAGGTTTCGAAGAACTCACTGGGAGTGACACATCCCCAATGTTTTCTCCTCTTGGATATAGTTGTTATTTTAGCATCGCGGTTACCACAGCCGGAGAGGTTTTGTTGGTCACAACCACAACCTCTGAAAGTAGCGAAAGGGTCTTCTGCTTCTGTAACTACAAGAAGGCTCCTAATGCTGACCCAGAGGACCAAATTGCCCGATCTTGCCTGCTTCTCCACTTGGGTATTACTGTGCCTGCTAACCATGCCCTTGGTATCCAACCAAACACAATCTATTTCACACTTCATAACCGTGTCCGTTTCAGCATGTCTTTTGATCTGTGTGTTTAATCTTGCAACCAACTCCATCATCAAACACTTCCCTCATCTTGCCAACTTGAAACCCAAGGATGCTCTATGGTTTCTCCCTATGACTTGATTCATGATATTTGTTGTTCTTGATTCCTTTTAGTTCTATACCTAGTCGTCTTTTTGCGTTTGGTTTGATTCTATTCATTACTTGGTTGTTACGTTGTGATTAGAAAAGATATGTAATTCGATCGTAATTAGGTAAATGATTGAAATGGTCAGGGATTTTTAGAGCTAATATAGTGTTATACAGAGAGAAAAAGGCATCAGGATTGAATTTTCATGCACTGCAGAAATTAAAACACATCAGAGGAAGCAAGTAGTGTAGTATATACACGTTATTATTAGTTCTAGAGAAAAATGATTAGTTTTTACCATTAAGAAGTCATCCAAAGAATGAAAAAATGGCCACTAAAGACTAACACATGTCACTATGACTGCAAGAATATTGGCTTCAAAATCGACTTTGGCAGCAAGAGTTGACGCTACTAGAGGAGATCCATCTGGAACAAATGGGAAAGCTTTGAGGGAGGAAATCCGCAAGAATATTGACAAGTGGCAAGAGCCTCCTCCTGCAAGGCAACCTAAGCCACTTCATGTTCCTTATTCTGAGCCTAAAAAGAGAAGGGGTGGTCGCCGTCTAAGAAAAATGAAAGAAAGGTATCGAGTGACCGACATGAGAAAGTTGGCCAACCGGATGGCGTTTGGTACACCCGAAGAGAGCTCTCTTGGTGATGGATTAGGTATCGGATATGGATTGCTTGGTCAGGCTGGGAGCAATAGGCTGCGTGTTTCGAGCAAGCTGAAAGTTAACGCTAAGGTCGCCAAAAAGCGACAGTTCACAGGTGGTTCTACTACCTCTGGTTTGACGACATCAAGTCTGGCTTTCACTCTTGTGCAAGGAATAGAGTTGTGCAATCCTCAGGCATTAGGATTAGTCAGTGGGATTCAAAGCACTTACTTCTTAGAGTCGGGAACTTTCTCCAAACTCAAGAAGATTTAAATTTCTCTTGCACTTGCTTTCTTTCATTAGCACTATTAGTTTCCTATCTGCTTAAATGATATTTCACTGTAACACAAAGTTAGCTAAAATGAAAATGTATCAATGAAAAAGAAACTAAGCTTTGAAGAGTAAAGAAACCTACCTGGACTTCTCCGATGCCTTCAGCAAGGATCTTTCCCATTTCAAGTGAAAGAAGACGACCAAGATATTCAGGTTTGGTTCTTAATGCATCTCACAATATCGCCTCTCTTAGGAGCCGTAACCTGCATCCTTATTTTGGCTGCTTCCTCGTAATCTTCCAGAGAAGCTTCCACAACTTGAGCAATTTGCTGCATCAGTCCAAAAAAGTGATTATCGAGCACAACAATATCATACAAACATTATTTAACCATGCTTCACACACACACAAACAAAAGATTCTAAGGAGTTACCTTTGTTAAGACTGAAGAATAATGCTTCTGAGGGTTGTTTGGCTATAAGCAGCATGTGATGAAGATGATTATGAAATTGGGGAATTATATAAACAAAATTCCAGTAGAATAATAAACTCAATGTTTCAACTCCAATGGAATTGAGTATTCTACTGAGGAGTTTGTTTATGAAATCTCCAACTACATAACTGAAGATGCTTACGAAATACTAACTTTGAGAGATTATTCTATCAGCTGCAGCTACACAGAGCAGAGAAGCAACATTACACTGACACGTAATCAAATTGAATCCTTGAGTTGTTTTCCTTGAAACCAGCTGAGGGACATTGAGAGATGTTTCAATCGCCTATGAGGACGCAAAATCGAGAAATGGAAGCCGGAAGAAGAAGAAGGCGAAATTTCACCAGAATTACATGGAGAATAACAAAACCAAATCAAATTCATCCATCTCAACCGAAACTCAATTTATTATAACCGGACGGTATAAAAGTTTTCTATACCGGATTATTATACAACCCAATAATAAAAATTTATCTATATATACATTTTTGGAGAAGATTTGGGCTCATAAATCCTTTTAAAATTTCCATTTTGTACATTTAGTCCTTACAAATAAAATCTGACAAAATATTTGTCTTAAACAAATTTACAAATCAATAAATAAATTCCCCAAACAATTCCTATTTTTATGATAACGAGATTTGAGATCCTAACATATGAAATTCAAATATTCAAAATTAAAACTCTTAATTACCATATCTACTAAATATAAACATATATTAAGAATTTTTAATGCTTGATATATCTATATTAACATTTTTGAAGAACAAATTGTGCATTTAACCAGGTCATTTTTTTATTTTGACCCGAAATTGAGTCATTCAGTTCTTTTTTTAATATCTACAATTATCTAAATCGGGACAATATACCACGGGTGAAATCCTAAAATTAAAAAATCAAATACAATTATTTAGTATTTTAAGATACAATTATAAATTGTTTTTACGGGTTGATCGAATTATATGTCTTTTAGATAAAGTGTTATTAAAAAATAACAAAATGATGTTTAATTTCACATGACAAGATTATGGTGGGACGGGTTTGAGTCGATATTAATACGAGACAATATACCACGGGTGAAATCCTAGAATTAACAAATTAAAATACAATTATATAATCTTAAACACTAAACAAAACAATTACAACTTAAATTTTTTACTTTTTAGATACAACGAATGTGACCCGCGGTATACAAAAAAAAAATTATATACAACAAATTCATCAATTTATAAAAAAATAAAATAAAAATCTAATAATTAACCCGCGGTGTACCGCGGGTCATATCCTAGTTTATAGATACATTTTTGGTGAAGATTTGGCCTCAAAAATCTTTTTACAATTTCAATATTGTAGTTAGTCCTTACATATAAAATCTGAGAAAATATTTGTCTTAACCAAATTTACAAAACAATAAATTAACTCACCAAACAATTCCTTTTTTTATGCTAACGAGATTTGAGATCCTAACATATAGAAATCAAATATTTAAAATTAAAAACTATTAATAATCATAATCTCGGGACAAATCTATTGAATAAAAACTAGATACATATAGCAAAATATAAAAAATAGATACATGAATATAGTGGAAGAGGATAAGAGAATGACTACTTATAAGATGATAATCTAAAACAGACAATGGATATTAGTCTTTAAAAAAATCAAAGAGAATGTAAGATATATATATCATATAATCTCTAAAATTAAAATTTAGAACGACGCTTATACAATTATATTTAATTTGATTTTTTAAAATCCATACAACAACAACAACCAACCAAAAAAATCTTAAAACTAAACAAAAATAAAAATTAAGATTTGAGATATAGTAGAAGAGGATGAGAGAATGAGTGAATGAGTGAATGAGTGAATGAGAGAATGAGTGAATGATTATTTATAGAATGATAAGTGATGGGAGTTGGGAGTTACAATTTTAATTTATTGTGTGTTAAATAAAATTGAGTGAAAAATATAGTTAATGCATAGATTTTATGATTTCAGTTTATATTAAAGTGTGAGTTAATGTATATGATTAAATAGATTATTTAATTGTGTTTTAATTGAAAATAATTTGTGAAAATAAAGTTAATGCATAGGTTTTATGTTTTCAGTTATATATTAAAGTGTGAGTTAAATGTATATGATGATATGTGTTATTTATTTGTGTTATAATTAAAAATATATATATTTTTTATTCTTATTGCCAAGTGGGCCAATAAGGAGAAACTGAAACTTACTTTTATATATATGATGATAAAAAGTGATTTACAATGCAAACAAAACTGAGATTTCTAGGCTCATAGACAACGGTCTTTAAAAGCTAAACTACGAAACGAATCATCAAATTTTAAATAAAAGAGCCGTTTGAGACTTTGAAAGAAAATCGGCCAAATATGGAAAGTTTTGTTGTCTTGTATCTTCAAAACTTAGGGAGGAACTAATGCATCTTTGGAATTCTCTGGATGTGAAAGAGGATCTTCAAAACACCCACAAACAAAGAGAGAAAGAGCCATTTTAGTTTTATTGCATTTGACTCCAAAAAGGGCAAGTTTGGTCTCTTTTGAATCCATATGATCAAGTGTGGTATGGTGTAGCTAGGATCATGTAGGAAAGTTTTAAAGAATCTCTTAGAACACTTCCATTGCAAATGTCTAAACAAGATACTTTGCACTAAAATAATTACAAAAAGTAAGAAAGAGAACAAAAAAAATGGTTCTAAAATAAAAATCCCTAATAGAAAAAATGTCTTCATCAAGACACTTTGATTGAGTTTGTTATTATTTTTAAAACACCCATAATATAATATTAGTATTTTATAATTAAATTTATGTTAAGACACCAACAAAAGTTATGAAATGGAGATGGTCTAAGCAATCCACTAGATACTCTCATCCCACACACACAAACAAAAGATTATAAGGAGTTACCTCTCTTAAGACTAAAGGATAATGCCTATGAGGGTTCTTCAGCAATGAGCAGCATGTGATGAAGATGATTATGAAATTAAGGATTACATAAACAAAATCCCAGCAGAATATGAAACCCAATTTTTCTATTTTTTTCCAATGAAATTGAGTATTCTGCTGAGGATTTCGTTTATGAAATCTCCAACTACATTACTATAGATGCTTATCCAATTTCTTGAAAAATGTACTGTTGAATCCAATAAAAAAAAGTGCAGTGATGATAATGAGAAAAAACAAATATTCTGAGAATAACAATCCAAATAACATTTGAGATCCAAAAGAAAATCAATAAAAGATTTGAAGCAATGTTAGTGACAACTTGTATATAAATATGACATACTCAAAAACGTTAAGAGATTATTCTATCAACCGAAACTACACTGATATGGAATCAAATTGAATCCGATTGAGATAGAGAATATGAGGAAAATTGAGAGATGATTCCTTTAATAGTCTATGAGGAGGCGAAATCGAGAAATAGATGCCGGAAGAAGAAGAAGAAAGCAAAATTTCACCAGATCTACGATGTAGAACAACACTACGGTCTACGGGTGGACAAAACCGAGTCAAAATTCAATTGTCTAAACAATCCTAATCCGCAAATCAGAGAGTTTGCTTCACATAAACAATCCTAATCCGCAAATTCAATAGAAAAGAAGTATATCACCCACTTAAATTTCAAAAGACAATAACACAAACTCAAAGATAACACTTTGCAGAAAACTGGGTTTTATTGAATGGAAAAGAAAAAACAAATTTTTTTGATAAAATGTGCTTTACATGAAAACGGAGTTGAGCTTTTATAGGCATATAGACAACGGTCATAAAAACCTAAATTAAGAAAAGAATCTTAAAATTTAAAGAAAATAGCCGTTTGAGGCTTTAAGAGAAATCATCAATATATGGAATGTTTTGTTGGCTCGTATCTTGAGAGCTATTAGAGGAAGTAGCGCACCTTTGGAAGTCTCTAGATGTAAAAGAGGGTCTTCAAAACACGCACAATCAAAGAGAGAAAGAGCCGTTGTAGCTTGATTGCATTTGACTCTAAAAAAGGACAAGTTTGGTCTCTTTTGAATCCATATGATCAAGTGTGGTGTGGTGCAAGTATCTAAATTAGATGTTTTGCATTAAAATAATTAAAAAAAAAAAGTGGGAAAGAGAATAAAGAAACAGTTTTAAAAGAAGAACCCTTAAGAAATCCACTTGAAACTCCCATCCTAAATTTCATCATCGAAATGGTTTAATTTAAATTTTAAAATTAAAATTTGATTAAAGACTTGAAATGTTTTAAAATAATAATATTTTAATGTTAAGATATTTTTTTGGGATATCTAAAGGATGGAGTTGCTCTTATACACTAGTGAGGCTTCAAAACACGACAGTTTTGAGAAAGTAGTTATTGAGTGTGAATATAGGTGTGAACACTCTCAAATAAGGCAAATGTAGATTTAACTTGCTGTTTTGCAACTCCAGCTTGCTGGGGTGAATATGGACGACTTCCTAGGTTAAAAGAGAACCCTCTAATCTTAGAAGGTCTCCAAGTCGTGGCTTCAGCTGATGATAAGGTGGGTTCACAATTTTTCTTATTTACACCCGGTTTTGGACCTCCATGGTAAACTCTTAAACTAGCTCGAACCAAAGATGAATTTCTTTGATCATTCTCCTTAGAATATATGGTGTACGGATGCAAAAAA